TTTTCTGAAAAGGTGAACTAAAACTTTAAAGACATACGGTGGTGGTAACATGGTTATGGATGACATACAGAGAAACAAATCTTTTAAATTATAGGCTTGTGGAATGTCCTAAATTGTATGCAGGGTTACAGAACAGTATAACTCTCACAGACAGTCTAAAGTATTCTTTTAGTGAACATTTATGCTGCAAAATAGTTTTTTTTTTTCTTTGACAATTAACTTGGCTTAAATGTAGCAGCAAATGCTATGTGTACAGTACATTGCCACTAGCAATGGCAAATTAGAATCCATTAACATACTCGGCCTCAACACACAGCATCCAACAAGTATTGCTCCACAATATAGGAATGGAAGCTTTGAAGGTGACTGCCACTGGTCTAAAGCAAAGATATCAACTTCAGTGGTAAGAGCTGCAATATAATATTTCTTCTTTTTGTTGTTATTTTATATTTTAGTACCAACAGTGAGCCCAAGGCCCAGCCACATACAGCTAGACCAGGAATGAGAGGTAAAAAATAGTTTTGGGTGGAGCTCTGCTTGTCAAAGTTACATTACAGCCAAATGTATGTAACTTATTATGCAAACCAAGTAAAATTAAAGTGTTTGTATACTCTGATCATGGTGTGTTTTCCTGCTTAGTGTGGTGAGTTTTAATAGGAAAGCAGAGGGACTGGCAAGAACACCAGGGATTTCACACAAAGGAAGCAATACAAAAAGAACAGGATACTTCTTCATACAAGTACATGGTACAGCAGGCACATATCAGGAACATGAAATGTTCAGTTTACATATTTTTAAATAGACTTTTAAAAAAAGACACTCTAATAGCTTACCTCTCATCCAAACATACCCAACCAACTATGAGAACTTTGGTGACATTGGCCAGGATTCAATTAGACAATAATCCTCGCTTAATGAGGCTATCCTATTTTAATGTATAATTTTAATGTATAATAGAAAGTTACTTTAGTGATCACTTCTCTAATCATATTGTATTATTAATAACAATGATAATATTGTAGCGTTCACCACCAGAGGCCCCCTCACACCCAGGTCTTCTCAGCTTGTATAGAGGCTGCCATTCACCAGCACAGCTGCATACACACTGACAATATAGGCTCTGTGAAGGGGATGTCTTTTTAGAATTTATTGCTGAATAACTTGAACAGGAGAGGGTTTCAGGGATCAGCATACCCCAAAGATAGCAGAAATAACAGAATGACTAATTTTCTCTAAGTAGCCTTTCCTGGAGGTAACAGGGTATGGCCACCAGTATAAGGACTCTATAGGATCATCTGGCACTTAGTTCCCTTCTAGAACTTGCACACCCAAGAGTCCATAGCAAGGTCTTTACTCACAATTTCGAGGAGTTGTCTACCACTCAGATTTCACAGGTAGTTCCTCAGTAAGGGAGACAAAAGAAGAGATCCTTCTCTAGACCAAGACTCCCAAGTGATGCTCTCCAGCAAATTATTCTTTAGAAATCTTCCCCAGGCCCTCAGTCCAGCATCTGCTGAGGCACAGACTGCAATTTCATGTCTCACTAGCTAGCTTGCCCCAGGAGAACTGGAACCCTCACAGGAGAGGTAAGAACACTCTGAATAGGCCAAACATTTATCAACTCCCCAGCCTCCTTCTGGATGCCTCCTTCCAGGGATTGGCTGAGGTGCTGTATGATAAATATTCATACTGGGTATTACCCTATATTCTGGAAGATTCTCTCAAAAGCAGATAGGAGAAATCAAGCACTCAGTTAGGAAACCCTGACCAGTCAAAAACAACAGATTACTGCTTCACTGACTGCAGTGAAGCCAAAAACTATATTTAGCCTAACAACCTAACTAGAGGAGGGTGCTACCGCATTAATGATTGTAGTTCTCAACCCCAGAGGGGCCACTGGAAATTAACTCATCTCCCTCACCTGTTCAGAGGCTGCAAGGCTCAGGTAGCAGTTCCAGAGCACACCAAGAAACACAGACTCACTCTAGGGAATGTCTTTTTGAAGATTTATTGCAGTACTTGAACCCAAGCAGGTAGAGGGATGAGTGTGCGGGATACTCCAAAACACACGCAGGCATTAGAGCACAGATTCTCATGTCCTTCAACAGCAGTCTTAAGTATTGCTGAAAATGGAGGGGGCAGCCAGCTAATTTGAGAAAAGCTGTAACAGCAGTCGCAGTGCTTGTAGCAGCCTCTGGCACCTAATACTCAAAGCACAGGCACTCCTGAAGCTCTAGGCAAAATGCTTTACTCCCAATGTCCAGAGACAGCTCTCCAACCAACTTCCCTGCAACACTCTTCAGTGAATGGGGTCTTTCTCCAGCCCAGCTTTCTAAGGTAGTTTCCTCCAGCAGATTTATTTCAGACCCTTAGCCAAGTTCATGCAGAGGTCTACCAGCAATAGATCTTCAGTATGTCAGACTGCCTCCCAGGGGCAGAGGCCCCAGAGAGAGCGAAGTCTGAACAGGTCCTTCTAAACATTTATCCCCTCCCAGCCACACCTTCTGGACACCCCCTCTCATGGATTGCCTGAGGTAAAATAAATATTCATTACAAATTGGCTAACCCTCCTTCTGTATTTCTGGAAGCTTCTTCCAGAGGCAGGTAGGAGCAATCAACCACCAGAATTGAAGAGACCTGTCCAGTTCTGAAAAATAAATTGCTGCTCAGATGAGTACAACAAAGCCCAAAACTAAATTTTTCCAGCCTAGGGCTGGGCACTGCATGATAATAATGAAACGAATAATAACAATTATTATTATTATTATATAAAATAATAATATGGAATATTATTTCCCATATTGTAAATTATTAGACTTAGACACAAAGTAATAGGGAATCCAAAATTATACTGTTGTTCCCATTAAGTAAAACTAAAATAAACTGAAGGTAAAACTGTTTTTTTCCTTTTGGAAATCGTGAAGGAGGGTTATAACTCCTGCCTGTTTTTTTGCCATCTGTGTCCTATTGGGGAAATTTCTCTTTACTTCCTGTCTCATAGCCATAACAGGAAGTGAGAGGAAATCCCTTTAAAGTGAGCAAAATTTCTTGTAGTTGACACAGCTAGTTTCCCTCAAAATTTGGGATTTTCTTTAATTATCAGTGGTCAGGACAAATAGAGTGGGTGATTCTCCCTAACAGAGACAGAGACAGAAATAAAAACACAACAGGTGCTCTAATCTGTGTCCATTCTATGTAAAAAAAAAAAAGTTATGCCAAACTTCAGTTCATGTATATCAAATCGTTATTCTTCAGCATGCAATAATTATTCAACTGTTATTTACTATAACTGCTATTGAAGGACAATCAGTATTTGGGAAAAAATAAACTGCTGCAGTTATAAAATAAAGACATAGTAAAGCAGTAAAGTATCTGAAAACACCTTCAACAGCTCCAAAAAGCCTTATGATACAGTCAAATGCAAGGACATGATAATAGGCCAACTTCTAAACCTCCTCACTAATGGCAAAGTGTGCCAAACATTTCTGCACATTTCTACTAGACAAGTGAGGCCCAGTGGGCTAATGAAATGTAAGAGGCCAGTACTTGGTTGCAAGCTCCACCACTACCAGGAAGTGTCAGAACTTTGTCTTCTGATCTAAAAGCTTTTTACAGTTGCTGTGTAGTATGAGCCAACACTCCTGAGTGCACAAACTCTATACCTGCAGAAATTCTATTTTCTATAAAGAGAGTCTCATTAATTAATGCAAGTATGTATTCCTCATTATTCAGTATGCTTTCTCATGGATTGCTATTTTATGTCCAGCATGAATAGTTCTTATGTCAACTTTCCTTTTAGACACCTTATAAAACCTACTAGTGAAAGTTAGTGATCATTTTTGTGAATTTACTTTGCATATCTATATCACAAAATATGTTCATATAACAAGAATGAATGCCACATCCCGTAAATGAACCTGACCATGCAAGAAAATATCTGTGGAACTGAAAATATAAATTTCAGTAATATAATTTCACAAATAAGTCAAGGTGGTGCAACTAATACATGCTTTATCATTTAGTGGAACTATACAGATTTAATTACAGGACATGGCATAGGCATTTATCAGATCGTATGCATATTAATCTCACCAAAACAGAACCAAAAAAAGAGACTACTGGTTTTAGTCTTTAACATCTTGAATTTTACATTCAAGGAGTCAAGGCTTTGCCATCTAGCTTCTTTACAGATTTTGGTATTAAGATGAGGAAGAAGATAAAATGCACAGCTGGTGATGTAGTGAACAAAAAAAGTCTCACAAAGATACACCAGAGGGAATAGTCATCAACATAAAACGAACAAGCACCCACACTATTGATTACATGCTGCTCACAGAATACCAGGCTCTTCTGCCAACTTATCTCCCACTCAGACACGGAGATGCAGACAGCATGTTGTACTTTGCATCATCAGTTTTGATGAATAATGCACTGATAAACACTGCAGCCAATAATCTGTAGTAGCTGAGAAGCCAGATGTCATTTGGACGTCTGATAGTTTTAACCCTAGGTCTTGATATTACATTAGAATTGGCAGCTTATTTGAGTTCCAGAAAACCTACACTGTGTTCCTTGATGCTTTTAACATGGCAGTCACCATAACTGTTTAGAAAAATAAACAGTTTTGATAATTTCCTATTTTATTAACAAATCAGTTATGATATCTTCTATTTTAAGTTATTTTTGAACAGCACATGACATTAACCTTATGACAGATATGGCTTGGTGGTTTGGTCATTAGCAATACTGCCCTGCAGTTATATTGAATTCCAACCAAGGTTCTATCGCCACAAATTTATATGAACTTCACGTTACTACCGAGTGATCCAGTTTCCTACAATAGGAACAAAATATACTGCCAGGTTCCTTAGTGGTTTATTGTATTTGGTAAGCTTGTACGAATGTAGTAAGGAATTAGATCAAAGTCTTCATTGGGGAACAGTTTATTATTGTATATCTTCTTATTCGTTAAAGCTCTGCAGAACATCAGTAGAAATTGATATATACATTATATTGCCAAAAGCATTGGGACACCCCTCCAAATCATTGGATTCAGGTGTTCCAATCACCTCCATGGCCACAGATGTGTACAATCAAGCACCTAGGTATGCAGACTGCTTCTACAAACATTTGTGAAAGAATGGGTTGCTCTCAGGAGCTCAGTGAATTCAAGTGTGGTACCGTAATAGGTTGCCACCTGTGCAATAAGTCACACCCTGAAATTTGCTTGCTACTAAATATTCCACGGTCAACTGTTAATGGTATTATAACAAAGTGGAAGCAACTGGGAACAACAGCAACTCAGCCACAAAGTGGTAGGCCACATAAAATAACAGAGTGAGGTCAGCGCATGCTGAAGCTCACAGTGCACAGAAGTCGCCAACTGTCTGCAGAGTCAATAGCTAAAGACCTCCAAACTTCATGTGGCCTTCAGATTAGCACAACAGTGCGTAGAGAGCTTCAGAGAGCAGCTGCATCCAAGCCTTACATCACCAAGTGCAATGCAAAGTGTCGCATGCAGTGGTGTAAAACACTCTGCCACTGGACTCTAGAGCAGTGGAGATTTGTTCTTTGGAGTGACAAATCATGCTTATCTGTCTGGCAATCTGATGGACTTGTCTGGGTTTGGCGGTTGCCAGGAGAACAGTACTTGCCTTACTGCATTGTGCCAAGTGTAAAGTTTGGTGGAGGGGGGATTATGGTGTGGGGTTGTTTTTCAGGGGTTGGGCTTAGCCCCTTAGTTCCAGTGAAGGGAACTCTTAAGGCGTCAGCATACCAAGACATTTTGGACAATTTCATGCTCCCAAATTTGTGGGAATAGTTTGGGGATGGCCCCTTCCTGTTCTAACATGACTGCACATCAGTGCACAAAGCAAGGTCCATAAAGACCTCAGTACCTGACCCCACAAGTGCGCTTCTGGAAGAATTGTCAAACATTCCCATAGACACACTCCTAAACATTGTGGACAGCCTTCCCAGAAGAGCTGAAGCTGTTATAACTGCAAAGGATTGAGCAACTCAATAATGAACCCTACGAACTAAGACTAGGATGCCATTAAAGTTCATGTGCGTGTAAAGGCAGCCGTCCCAATAATTTTGACAATATAGTGTATATAAATATATATATATATATATTACAGTTTATTGGTAGTGCTTTTTAATGTGTTAGTATCTTGGGTTGGGTCTCAGAAGGGAAAACAAACCTAGCGCTGGGTCTCAGCAGGGGAGCGAGAATGGTGGAGCCATATTGAGAACCAACAGTGTGGAGAATTCTGGAACCCTTGATGAAAGATTTGGAAACGAGTCAGATAGATCCTCCCAGAGTGCCTTCCCAGGACGGCCTTGCTGGTTCCAGCTGATAACTAGTGCTCTATTTTCAGCCAGGTGGTATTTGTGCCAGTGAAAAGACCAAAGGCAAACACCAAATCCAAAGCAAGAGATAAACTCATAATCAAGCTGTGTTTCACGTAATTTAGAAATACAGCTGCAGTCAGGGCAGATGGAATACAAGAAATGTCAGGACAACCCATACCTTCCCATACCTTAATTTTAAAATAAAAAACTATAGAAACCAAGGATCAGGTAGAGGGGTAATCAATAGTGGGGTTTCTTTCATGGGCAATGTTCAGCTTTAGGGAGTATTAGAATTGACAAAGGCTGTAAGTGTACTTTAAGAAAGTTATTAGATTGTTAACATATTTATACAATCATATGAAAATATTAAAATAGTTAGAATAGTATAAAAACCATTTACTGGACATGTAAGCCTTTGAATTTAATATGGTTTACTATCATGTAAACACAAGGTTATTTTTCTGTGAATAAGCCGAAGAAAATAATACTAATAAAGTGTAAGCTGCTGTAGCAGTGGCTGGGCTAATTAGCAATCCAATCATCTATCAATGTCCCCTTCCTCAGTCATGCAGGTTTGAAATTCAGTGCCCTCAGTTCTTGCTCATTCATGCATGCAGCATTGATCTCAGCATAGCGACGAGCTCTCCTGAAGCAAGCAGCACAATGAGATCACAATAAATACAACTGCATTTACCATAATAGTTAAATAATTTCTTCTCCAAATCATAAATTAATAAAAAAATATTACAGCCAGTGTTATTTACCAGCCCTGCGTGTGCTATTATGTGACCTTTCCATTTACAGAGCAAGTGTATCACATGTGAAGCATGCATATATGTCCTAAACGGTTGAGGTGTTTTTTTATGTAATGTTAATGTTTCTTCTTGGTAGTCAGATAAAAAATAAGAATTTCCTTGAATTCGGAATGCAGCAGTTCCTGTAGCCTTGTTATTCCCTTGTCATGGTATAAGGTATCAGCTTTCAAATGCTTGGTTGCAGGGCTGTAGCTATAGCCATAGATGACTAAACCTTGCAGCTCAAGAGACCCAGTACAGCCATTCTGTATAGTTACTGCTGTACATTCAAAAACAAAATGCACAATACATAGCTATGCCTTAGACTTTTTACTTTTAGGAGTTTAGCAATACCAGCCTATATAATTCCCTCTAGACATATTTGATTTAAAGACAAACTTACAATTTAGCTATCTGTTGTAGTGCAATAACACACTTGCATTAACATTCATTGCATTAAGGCAGCCCATTCATTATGAATGGTCTGCTAACACAACACGATGGATCAAGAAATGCCCATGACCCTTTTAGCAATGCAGCACCCCTTTCTGCAGTATACAGGTGAAACTCGAAAAATTAGAATATCGTGCAAAAGTTAATTTATTTCAGTAATGCAACTTAAAAGGTGAAACTAATATATGAGATAGACTCATTACATGCAAAGCAAGATAGTTCAAGCCGTGATTTGTCATAATTGTGATGATTATGGCTTACAGCTCATGAAAACCCCAAATCCACAATCTCAGAAAATTAGAATATTGTGAAAAGCTGCAATATTCTAGGCTCAAAGTGTCCCACTCTAATCAGCTAATTAAGCCATAACACCTGCAAAGGGTTCCTGAGCCTTTAAATGGTCTCTCAGTCTGGTTTAGTAGGAATCATAATAATGGGAAAGACTGCTGACCTGACAGTTGTGCAGAAAACCATCATTGATACCCTCCATAAGGAGGGAAAGCCTCAAAAGGTAATTGCAAAAGAAGGTGGATGTTCCCAAAGTGCTGTAAAAGGGTTAAAAAAAGTGTGGAAGAAAAAGGTGCACAAGCAGCAGGGATGACCGCAGCCTGGAGAGGATTGTCAGGAAAAGGCATTCAAAAGTGTTGGGGACTTTCACAAGGAGTGGACTGAGGCTGGAGTCAGTGCATCAAGAGCCACCACACACAGACGGATCCTGGACATGGGCTGCAAATGTTGTATTCCTCTTGTCAAGCCGCTTCTGAACAACAAACAAAGTCTGAAGCGTCTTACCTGGGCTAAAGAAAAACAGACCTGGTCTGTTGCTCAGTGGTCCAAAGTCCTCTTTTCTGATGAGAGCAACTTTTGCATCTCATTTGGAAACCAAGGACCCAGAGTATGGAGGAAGAATGGAGAGGCACACACTGCAAGATGCTTGAAGTCCAGTGTGAAGTTTCCACAGTCTGTGTTGATTTGGGGAGCCATGTCATCTGCTGGTGTTGGTCCACTGTGCTTTATTAAGTCCAGGGTCAACGCAGCCGTATACCAGGAGATATTGGAGCACTTCATGCTTCCTTCCGCAGACGAGCTTTATGGGGATGCTGACTTCATTTTCCAGCAGGACTTGGCACCTGCCCACACTTCCAAAAGCACCAAAACCTGGTTCAATGACCATGGGATTACTGTGCTTGATTGGCCAGCAAACTCGTCTGACCTGAACCCCATAAAGAATCTATGGAGCATTGCCAAGAGAAAGATGAGAGACATGAGACTGAACAATGCAGAAGAGCTGAAGGCCGCTATTGAAGCATCCTGGTCTTCCATAACACCTCAGCAGTGCCACAGGCTGATAGCTTCCATGCCACGCCGCATTGAGGCAGTAATTGCTGCAAAAGGGGCCCAAACCAAGTACTGAGTACATATGCATGCTTATAATTTTCAGAGGTCCAATATTGTTCTATGTTTTATTGTTTTATTGATTGCATGTAATATTCTAATTTTCTGAGATTGTAGATTTGGGGTTTTCATGAGCTGTAAGCCATAATCATCACAATTATGACAAATCACGGCTTGAACTATCTTGCTTTGCATGTAATGAGTCTATCTCATATTTTAGTTTCACCTTTTAAGTTGAAATAAATGAACTTTTGCACAATATTCTAATTTTTCGAGTTTCACCTGTATGTGAGTTGTGGTACACTGTGGTGTGTTGCATTGTGTGTTCGCAATGGAAGGCACCGTAATGCACCACACATAGAGCAAGTGCATTTATGCATATAGGATGCTATGGCTAAGCACATGTTGAGTACCTTCTACTGAGAAAGTCTTGGAGGGAAGTCACATGGATGTAAGCATTTTTAGAGGATGATCAATCAGATGACAAAGAATGAAATTACTTCTGACCTTGGTTGATGAGGTGGTAGAAGCATTGCTTAATGTTTTGAAGGGGCATTATCTCAGTACTATGCATGTGAACTAACCCAACCAGTTTCTCAAAACAGTTATATGCAAGGTATGCTAGGAATGCTAACTGTCACAGTTGGTTGTACTCTCAACCATACTGTCAAGCCATCAAATGGCTGGTGTCACAAGCAGGGGCGGACTGACCATTTGGAAACTCGGGCACTGCCCGTAACAAGTGATCACACATGCAGTAATGTGGCAAATGCAGATCAAACAGAGGCTAAGATGTCAGCTTCTTGGGCTGTAAGGCCTCATGCACAATGGGCAGAAAAAAAGTTGCTTTTACAGGAGTTAGCCATTTATTTCTTTAGCCTGTAAACGCACCTGTATGTTAGACTATGTAAGTGTCCATGCATTTAGGAATTTACAGGAATTTTAGAAAAGAAGTTTATAGGCTGAAAAAAAAACATTACCAGCGATTGGTCAGAAAAAAATGCATGAAACGTGCATAAGTGTGCATAAGATTGTGTTACCACTAGGCGCATTTAGGCGGGTTAGTGCATTTGCAGTCTAATGGCCATAATAAATGACTATTCTGGCCAATAGAATAAATTAAAGTGAATGCACATAAAAGCAGGTACTACGTATTTAAAGCAGCTTTGATCCTGCCAGGAGAAAAGGAATTTAGAGGAGCTGAACAAACGTTCAGTGTGCATGAGGCCTAAGGGCCAGTTCACACTACAAAATGCACTTTGAATGCATTCTGGATACATTTTTGCTTACAGTTCACACCACATGTAGTTCCGGTGCAGTTTTGATGCAGTTTGCTATGTTCCAGTATGGTTTTGTGCAGAAAAAATGCGGCACGTTCTACTTTTTTCTCTGCACTGGAAACTGACTGGAACTAACTGCAATAGTGTGAATCAGGGCCATTGGAATACATGGAAAACATTGTGCATGCATTTTTGATGCAGAAAAAAAGTGCAGTGAACTGCATCTAGTGTGAACTAGCCCTAAAGGATAGGAGGGTTTAGATCCACTTCAAGACCAGATTCACATACTTTAAACACACCTGACTCTTTTTTAGAAAGACAACCCACATGTTGCATTCCTGAAGAAAGAGTCAGGAGCAGGGGCGGACTGACAACTCATGGGGCCCCCGGGCAATAGGGATCAT